GAAGGACTGGATATGAACTTATTAAGGAGTGAATGGGATATGATTTTTAAAATCAAAGGAAAGTTTCTCTTTCCTTTGATTCTACCATATTCCAAGATGAAATATGTTCTATGAAGTCCTCAATGGCCTATGCAAACCTTTTAATATAAAACATCAAAAAACAAAACTGAACTAAACAAAGAACAAAAAAAGTGTTACTCTTTCTGTAACTATTGGAGAGTAAGCTTGTCCCAAATTTTAATTTTGAAAAATACAAAGTTTTTTGTAACACCAGCCTAATGCTATGGTAAATAGATACTTCTTATTTAATTTGTTTAATTATTTAGCTCTATCTTTGTTCCATAGAGGATATAAGGTGGCTTAATTGAGATATACTAAAAAAACTATCTTTGCAGGTCTCAGAGGTTCAGCCAGGCAATGTACAAAAGTCAACACACAAAATAGCACAAGCATCCTGTAAAATCTGCAGAAAAGAAAATGAAGATATTAAGTCCCTATCATTCCAGATAAGAAAATTCTGAATGATTTTTGGAATACTTCTAGATTTTATGTCATAAAATTTGCAAAAATTGCCCCAGGACCCAATATTTGTTTTATTACCAGCCAAGTTTTATCCCATAAAACTAGAGCCTTCTTGAACTCTAAAATCAGGGTGGAATTGACTTAGATGCAAGAATCCAACTTCTAGATTGCATGTTTTCCTTGGCTATCACCCATTAAAGCATTAGGCAAGTCATTGAGATTGGGAAATCTAAGAGATCATAGCCCAAGGAATGTAGAGACAAAAAATAATAAATTGAATCAAAGCTCATATCAAAAGATTACAATCCAACCAATCACACATTTCCTAAAAGTGGCCCTGGAGTTTATAATTATTAAAAATAAAATTAAATCTAAGTCCCCTAGTTAATGGTACCCAAGTCTGGGCCACAGTAGTTGTCTGCTGTACGTAAGTGAGACCTTTCGTACAGTAGTTCTACTGTCTATGAGGGATTGACTTGATATTCAAAAAGAAGTAACTGAATTTATATGTAACCTCTGAGTCCATCATAAACAAGGGACTTGTGCATCATTGAAAAGTGAAGTGGCCTAGTGCTTCTTGACCAAAATAGCAAGACCATGTCCTGTCCATCTGACTGTTAAGGTACCTTGTTCTGAAAAAGTTACGGTGTCTATCTTTGCCATGTAACAATAGAAACAAATGTTGTCACAAACAGTTCAGGACATACTGTAAATACATTTAAATGGTCATTAAAACCACAAAAACTACTTAACTATCTTTTAAAATAATAAATATCAAATAGTCTTCCTCCCTAAAATGTGTTCCTTTTGTTTGCTAGTGTTTAAATATTAATTCCAATTAAGAGCCGCATGTTAAAAACTAAAGACCTATCTGGGGACCAGCAGTCGGCGTAATGGCTATGTCACTGGACTCCCATGTAGTCGACCATGGTTCGAGTCCCAGACTCAGTGGCTTAAACTCATGCCAGGCGCATGTGTGTGCATGCCCAAGATCCTGAAAGGAGAATGGAGGAGAAGGGATTGCAGTGTGGCCATCCCCCCCCCCCCCGGGAAAGGGGGGTGATTTCTCGCTTTCTGTCTCTCTGTCTTTCTGGTGAGCGCATGTGCCCTATAGAAAAAAACCTCTCCAAAAAAAAAAAAAACACTAAAGATCTATTCATAGGCATTCATACTAGTTTCAAGAGCTTATGGCCACCCTTGAGGGGTCTTCTGAATCAGCAAGGAAATATTCTCCAAGTTAGACTGCCCTGTCTGATGTGCTGGCAAAAAAAAAAAAAAAAGGCAAAGGATGTATCAGTTTGTGAGCTGACACGCGTGCATCTATGCTTTCAGGATGACTGGATAGACTTCCTCCTTCATGTCAACAGTGGAGAACATATTTCAAAGAGACCAGGTCACCAAAAAGGCTTGAATTTTTGCCATCGCTTCCCAAGCTGGTGGGAAATAAACACAGGAGTAAGTGGGAACAATTTCCATGGGTTGTCATCTCCCAGTGGAAAACTCTCAGTGATAACATATTGGCCATCAAGGTGAAATTTTTTTCAAAAGTTTAGCTGCTCTTTGTTAGAACAATACAAGCAGCAACGTCATCCCATTGTTTCACTGCTCATGGCAGTAGATTAAATTTTCCCATAAATGGATTGTGCCTCCTTGAGAAACTAAATCTTAACTTTGGGGATTTCATATTCATATTTCAGTGATGGCCAGAATACAGAGATGAAAAGAAACTCCTAAAGATAAATTATGCTCTAAAATACCAAAGATGCTTATACTTATGAAAAGGGCTTTTAATAGTAAGTATATTTTATTCCAGTTGAGCACAAAATGAAAACCTTAAGTTTTCTGATTTTTCACATTTAAGATGACAAAATATTCTCTATCCCTAGTGACTTGATTTATATATATTTATTTCAAGATATTATAGAACAAACTCTTAATTTCATCAGAAATTCCTAATAAGCTCTAAGATTAAGTCTATAATAGAATGATACACTGAACATGTTAAAATGATGGGATATTTCTGAATAATCAAAGAAAATTCCAAGTATATCCTATTTCATTTTGGTGTTACATATATTTTAGTTTTAAAAGATGGCTAATGAATGTACAATTTACATACGTACAATTTTAGACTAAGCAAAACATCACTTCAGTTTCAGGATACAGTTCTCAAAAAGGCTTCATTTCCAAAGGAAAATTATTAGAGGTTTATTAAGGAATAGGTGTTGTTAAGTATTGCTTTTGTTTGCCATATTATATGCAAATAGAAATATTGAGATACTACATTATACATTAACTGTAGCAAAAAAAATACCTAACCAAGTTTCTTGAGAAATACTGAAAAAACTGATTTTGATGTTACATAACTATTCAAAGAGTATTTACTCAGCTCAAGTACAGAACATTTTTAGGTAAGCATAATTCTTTCTGTGCATGTTCAGAAATGCACTTCAAACAATAACTGCTTTATTAATTTCAAACCAAGCTGCCGTTCAAATGCAAAGAACATACCCTTTGTTTAGTCTGACAATACTTATCAACTCTTTTTCTACCAAAGCCCTCCCCTGATTCCTATTCTTTGTAAGATGCGTAGCAAGGCTTTTTAAAACTGTTTGGAGACAATTCACTTTGGACTATGATGCTACACAGAGAATTAGTCAACTAAAAAGAAAAAAATCCTCATAAAGTTGAAAATCCGGTAAGCAAATAAAATTTCCCCAACATCAAAAATTTCTGACAAAATTTTTTATATGCTAAAGTTTGTCTTTTTTGAAAGATAACAAATCATTGTAATCTCCCATCCACATACAAAATAAAATCATAAATTTAACTGTGAATCACATTGAATGTGTTCTTTTTTATATGCTCTTAATTTGTAGTAATATTAAATGATTTGTAAAAAAAATTTAAGATCAACTTTTATACTTTTATATCTGTATTTAATTTGTACTTATTACCTTTGACGTATATGCAACTATTACCAAATGACATAATTTTGTACCATAACAAGTACTTGGAAAAAGATAATTATTTAAAGACAAAAATAAAGAATAAAGTACAGGTAAAAGTCAGAAAGAAAAGTATGCATATTTTTATTTTACATTTTTACTTGTTTATCTACTAGCTATAGCTTTTTACTATCATTTTAAGACAAAGATTAGTCAGCTATATTTTCTTGCAGTTTTGTTTTCTTTCAAGTGTTGCAACCTCACACTAGCTAAGCATTATGATAAAGAAGACCAAACAATTAAGAACCTAAAACAGTCTACCAAAAAACTATCCTTATAAACGTTCTTGTTTATTTTCAATGAAAAAAAAAAAAGATGGCAAGGTTGGGAAGAAGAAGGATATTAATTAACAGAAACAAAATTACGATTAATAAGAGAAAGAATTTCTGGTGCTTTAAAATACAATAGGGAGAATATAGCGACAGTTAACAAAAACCTACGATATATCACAAAGTAACTAAAAAAGAGAAGCTTGAAGGCTCCCAACACAAGTAATGACAAGTGGTTGAGATGATGAGCATATTAATTACCCTGACTGAATCATTACTCATTGTATTCTTACACTGAAAAATCACATTATACTCTTATAACTATGTACAATTATTATATGTTAATTTTTTTAATGAGATTATCCAGGATGATGGAAAGCATTAGTGTGACTGGTTTGGGTTTGGGAATTTTGTTTGATGTTTGATAGTTTCTTCTGAGAGCACCCTTTTTCAAAGTCATATGTGTGTGTGTGTGTGTGTGTGTGTGTGTGTGTGTGTCATTAAAATTATTGTAATAATACAAAACTAGAATGTTTCCTAGCAGTTCTATCTCACAAGGGAAAACACTGTTTCTACAATAATAGCAAAATGCTATATATTCAAATTTTGGAGTCACAAAACTATGAAGATAGCCAAGTTATAAAAGCCCATTTTCAGACCTGGAACGGCTTCTGAAAATAAAGAAGGTATTTGGCATACCTTGTACCAAAGGAAAAATCCTACTTATTATTTTCTGATTCTGGAGATCCAATAAAAACCTTATGGAATAAAACCTCTTGCAAAAATCCTTCAGTAAAAGCATAACTACCCTTCTAAAGTAATGAGAGTTGATAAACTATAATGAGTATGGAAATTTTTACGTTTCCTTGTGAATTTTGAAAGAAAGATTAAAAGGTTTTTTTGGCTTTTCAAAGACCAATGGCTTTTAGCACCTAAAAGAAACACAACCAGAATATAAGTATATTCATTTTCAAAGAATACCAATAAAAATTAAAGCATTGGTGATTAGGTAAATGCTGATGACGCCAATATAGAAGTATTTGCCACTGTGAAGGGCCTAACACAATCACATCTTGTCCTGATCATACCTGCTTGCCAGAACAAAATAGGCAGCTGACCAATTATGGGGTGTTTATCTATACAGTGGTACCTTTGTTCTCCAACAATGTCAGATTGCAAACGTCCTGGAACACATATTTACCTGGAGGATTCTTGGCAGGATCATTGTGGCTTGGACTTCCTGATTGTCCAGAATCTGTAAAGAAATCACAGAAAATGTTTTCTTTTTAATTTGTTTTGAAAGAATGTCACAATCTTCAGGACTTAAAAAAAAAAAAAATTAAGGTACAACAATGAAGCTGAGTGTTTAAATAAAAATATATTTTCCCAAGGTTTTCAATAGCAACATTTTATTCATCAAATGAGATCAATGCCTGTACATATTTTCATGTCAAGAAGTAAAAGAAATATTGATCTGTAATATTCTTGGGCTAGAACAGGCTTTTTTCAAACAAAAGGTCTAGCTACGAAGCCATGGAAGATGGTTTGAAGGTTAGGCAAATATCAAAACCTGTCAGTAGCAATAAGAAATAAAGCAGATATGTTCCCTTAAAAATGCAATCTGTAATTAAACATGAGTTTAAAACCTGAAAACATGTTTTTATTCAATGAGCAAAATACACAGAAATGAGTCTGCTTTTTCCAGGATTTCACACGCGTGTACACATATCCATTCCAATAATCCCCCAACCTACTGGATCCAGGCCCAGATCTGTCTACATCCCATAATAGCAATTGATTTGCAAACACTAAGAAAAGCATAAATTACTAGGTACAAACCAGCATGGCTTTGTGGAGAGCAAAGTGTTGGATCAATTTGATTTCCATTTATGATAGACAGACTTCAGATAAGGAAGAAGAGATCAATGCATGCACTTGAATGTCCTATCCCACATCACTCCTCACCCATGTGACAGAAAGGAACATGGAGGAGAAGCAACTGGTAGGCAACATGCCTTTACCAACTAATCCAACCCTGTTGTATGTTGCTCCTCCTCTTTCTTCCATGCCCTCTCTGCATTTATCTGTGTCATTTGCCCCATATTATTATACACTTACTTACAAGTTGCTTCGTAATCTTCTTTTATTGGTTTTAGCATTTAAGTTTTGTCTCCCCAACTAAATTGCATGCTCCTTAGCAGAGGCAGATTCTGTCTACTTCTTTCGTGTCTTCCTTAGCTTGCGGTTCATAGCTGTGAACGCACTACACTTGCAGCAAATGCTGGAGGAATGGATGGCTCAGATTCAGCAGCCTTCTTTGCCTGTCTAGAAAATGCAGTTTTGGACTTGATAGTGAATTTCAACCCAATTGGAAAGGTAGGGCACAGATGACGACTCTGTTTGTGGACTGCCATATAGTGACAAGTCTCTTCCCTGAAACATTGCCATCGTACTTGAGCCAAGAAAAGGATTGAGTCTTGGTTAAACAGAAAAATCATATGCTGGGTTTTTTTCATCAGGGTTATTCTGTTCTTCTAGGTAAGTGATTAGTATACTACAGTTACTGTTTCTATTATGAAATGCAAGAACAACCTGTTAGTTGTGTCCTGTACAAAACTTGCTATTTACGTCTTCTCTTTGTTTCATGCCTGCTAGCTTAGACTTAATGCTGAAATCACAATTTCACCCCTTCGTGGCATTTCCTTGTTTGTTTGTTTTTTTTCTTTTTGCTCTAGAACAGAGTTCAAGCGATCTTAACAAGCATAATTAATGATTCTCTTATTATCCTTCAATTTCTTCCTGATTTCTCAAAATGAATATAAAGAAACTGGAAAGGATCACTCTTGCAGTCTGGATTCTGGCTAGAGTCTCCCGATGCTAGTCAGAGAGCTAAGTACTCTCTAAAAATTTTATTTCTCATCTCCCATGAATTTCTCTATTACTTTTTCTGAAAAGGAGGCAAGACTCAGGAAATTAACCTTTCTCTTTCTTCTTTCTTATAAAAGATGTACAATATTGGTCACTTTCTGGACCTAGACTATAGTTGTTACATAAAAATGACAAAATTATATTATTTTCTTTTGATCTCAGCTATTCCTACCTTGAGTTCCTCTAACAAATGCCTCTCAGTTATATATTCCGGTATAATTTCTCAAGTGATTCTAAAATATTGAGAGGTTCCTACTTATGCATAACATGCCCACTCATCGGAGACCCCCTTGTCTTGTTTCTCCCTCTAAAGCTACCTCCTGTTTATGATGGTCTATCTAGACAAGCATGCCTTGCAGTAGCTAATGCCATCTTCATTATGACACAACATGAGGCAGCTCAGGTTAGAGTGGTCACCAGTGGGCAGGTGGCATCTACAGCTTCATTTCAGGAGTTACAGATTCTATACATGAGCCTCAGCGTTTTTAGTTACCAACTTCAAAATGGCACCACAAAACTTTCCCATCATCTGTTGCTAAACTTCCAGTCCAGTGGAAGGTCCCTTCCACTCCTCAGAAAATGCTATTAGAACAATGACATCCCTGTTACCACAACATGCCACTTGGGAAACTATTCTTGTCTGCTGCAAATAACTTTTGCTTCTCATTTCCAACAATGGCAGACCAACTCTTTCAATTGAAAAAATATACTTACTTAAAAAAAAAACACAAGAACTTCAGGGAAAGCTGAAGTAGACCCTAAATCTGAGTCATACATTTGCTTTTTGTAACAATTCCACTTTCTAAAATGATCTGGTGTTTATTGGCACACAGTGACAGGTTTTCCTACATACTCCATAGCCTCTGCCCTCTCGTGAAGTAAATGGCATATCCTATGCCCCCAAAATACAAAAGGAAGCCCCCTCAATAGTTGAATGGTAGTACATTTATTTTTCAGACTATAAATTCTCACAGTACAATCTACTCTTAACTCATATGTCACCTTATATTGGTCACTTAATTCCAACTGCTGGAAAAGGAAGTAACCAGGGAATCGCAGTTGGCAGAGAAACCAAAAATGAACTGTTATTGTGGTTGACTTCAGAGAAGGAATTATTCAGACCACATCTAAAACCCTTCCAATTCACCACCTAGATCAAATTACCCTCTACCCAAAGGTTTTATTTAACCACTTCCATTATGTTGTTCAAATCCTGTGTGTGTGTGTGTGTGTGTGTGTGTGTGTGTGTACGCATGCGTGCACAGATGAGTGTGTATATGCGCCTGTACTTGATATGTTGTAGTAAGTCTTTGCTCTGTGCTTCACTGGTGGTGTTACCCTGTACAAAATTACTTAAGTCTGAGAGCCTTGGCATCTTGATCTTAGAAACTGTAACAGTACTTACTCTCTACCTCATAGAATCATTGCAAAGATTATATCGTACAGGCATCAAGCACTGAGTCGGATACATCTCACACAATCAATAAATAAAAGACATTTTTAAGCATACACATTCAGAAATAATTAATATTTTTAATAAACTACCTTACAGTAAGAAGAGAAGAAAAGAGACATGACTACACTTTGTCCATCCTAGTACAATCATCTAGAAATGTCTACAGAGGAGTGTGTGCCCACCTGAGAGTTCCTGTGTAAGTGTTGTCCTACACTTTCCCAAAGGGAGGAAAGTTGGCTGCTTCCAGATTCTCAGAGCTGGCATGCTTAACAGGCAGTAAATACCAGCCAGTTGATGAAAACTACCTTCCCGAAGACTGAAGTCTTGAGGAACAAAGCTAGTAAGAATAGGGACTGTGAGCTGCCCTACACACTGGATCTTGAGTCTAGAAAGATTTTTTTTTTGATAGGATTTTGCTATAGGGCACATGTGCTCACCAGACAGAGAGAGAGAGAGACAGAGAGACTGAAAGCAAGAAATCATACCCTGGGGGGATGGCCATGCCACAATCCCTTCTCCTCTATTCTCCTCTCAGGATCTTGGGCACTCATGCACATGTGCCCAGCGTGAATTTAAGCCCTATGGTCCAGGATTCAAACCACGTTCGACTACATGGGAGTCCAGGGATATAGCCATTACGCCAACTGCTGGTCCCGAGTTTAGAAAGATTTTCACATGAAGAGAGGGAAGGGAGTCTGGAAGGCAGCTGACCAAAGCTGCCTTCCCTTGTGCTCTCCTCCTTTCTTTTTCTCTTCCTTGATCTCAATCTATTATTTCTACATTTCTGTGTTTATCCTTTTATTATTTGACTGGATGTTACATTGGACTAAAATACATTTTGTGCTTTGTATTAAATACTTATGAAAATCTCATATTCCTCATTCTTTATTTTTTAAAGGATGAATTAAGCATATCTCTTCTTCTAGGGGAAAAAAAGATAATTAATGCAACTATTTCTGAATTGCTACTTTTTAACTCAATCAATTCTTCTTCCCACAGATTAATGATTCTCCAGGAATAAGAAAAGGACCACATGTCTGCATAACTCTTACTAATTTTTCTTCAATCCTTTGGTCCAAGCTTTCTTTAAAAAGCAGTCAACCTTTTATGGCTCTTCTCATGTCTAAACTTTACCTAATGAACAGTCAGGCTTTCCTAATGACCCACATATATGAAAGATCCTTAGATACCTATGTGATATGAATGTCTTGCCCTAAGTTACATGGTAACTGTTAAAACGTACATTCTCTATATGGGCCGCCTACGCAGACAAACTCCTTCTTGATGGTCATGATGCAATCTCAAAATCATGCAAGGCCAAATGATCATTTTGTAGATTAATGTTTCTGAGAACTCTACATTCCCCTAACTCCCCTCCTCCTTCTCACTACTTACCAATACATTCAAACCTTGTTTAGAATTTTTTAAAACTTTTAGATATTCTGTCTACCTAAGTGGGAAAAGTTACTATTATCCTTGAACTCTACCTATATTAATCAATGCTTTAAATTTAGTTTGGAATTTTTCTGCTAAAATTAAAGAAATTCTACCATTTTATGGATAATCCAGTGGAAGTCCAATAAACTGTTTGTTTAAAAATATATGACAATAAATAAATAATGGCCTGTAAAATGTTTGTGTTTGAGCACTAACTTTCAGAGTGGATACAATGCAACTATGTGAGCTAAGTAGAGCATCAAAACTGGGAATGATTTTTTTTTTGAAAGTCATTAATGTAAACATCAACTAAATGCAAAGCGATTAGATTTATGGAGCACTTCCGTATTCCAAATGCTTAGTAACATGGGGAACACAGTACGTACTCCATGGTGCTTATCGGCTTTTCATTTCATTTACACTCGTGACCTTTA